AATAGACTAGCTATAAAAAATTTTGATCAGAAAAAGAAAAAGTTAATTTGATTAAAGAAAATATCAACAACTTCAGACATATCTTGTATGTCATGAGGTTTGGTGATGAATTTTTGACAAACCAACAAAATGTCACAATTATTGTTTATGCATCATTTACTTTTGCAATTAAATACATTATCTATTCAAATTATTGATTTATAATTCTATTCAAACTCTATACAAGTTTTGGCATATCTAAGTATGATTTTGTAATTACCTCATATAATTTTTTTTCATATATGTCATTGCCAAGTTGATCATTTTTGCTCGATTTTTTGGATGGTATTAGTAAGGTAATAGTGCTGCTTATAATGATGATCATATATAGTTGTGCATGTAATTATTTTTATTGTTATGTTAAGAATAAGGATGATGATTATAATAATATTTAATGATATTAATTATGCAGTTGAGTGTAATTAATTAAAGTGGCAGTGGTGCCAGAAAAATAATAATGATAACAATAATATTAAAATAATAATAAAAAGCTGAGTTAATTTAATAATAAAATAACGGTGGTGGTGTTAGTAAAACTAAGGCAATGGCAGTGTAGCAGTGCATGTTACTGTGGTGGTGGAGGCAGAAATAGTACGGTAAGTCTTTTGTTTGCTTGTATTTATTTACATATTTGTCGTTGAAAAAAAAAAAAAACCAAAACCTTGAATTTGTCCCACATCCATCATGCATAATTGCTTGGATAAGTTGAATGGGACCGGGAAAAAAAATTATTGAGATGCTTCATTGAATTGAGAACTATAAAGTGGTGGTGGTTGTGGATGCTTGGACAATGCCTTCTTGAAGTTTCTACTGTAGCGATACTAGACTTATGGGCCATTGGTTTTCAAACAAATGAAGAGTCGTAATAAATTTGGTTGTTTCTCAGTAGTCAGAAAATGAAAGGAAGGGGCCATGGGGAGTGCCATAATTAATGAGTGTATTTTTTATAGGAAGATGTGAAAAATTTTATAATATTTAAAGAGTGATTAGTAATATGTATAATAGTTATTTTATGAAGTTATTTTTTAGAAAAGAGATAGATACATAAAAAAATTACATCCAGATTTATCAAAAATGATAAAAAAGTTTTCACATTCACTCAATTGTTTTTAAAAAATTTTCTCCATTGTTTTTCTCTTTTTTGTATCGATATATTTTTATGAAGTGGATTTATGAAGTAATTACTATATATATTTACTCAATGATAGTTGCATCATTCATAATAATGCTAAATTTGCCACAGTAAATTATTGCGGCATGTTTAAAATGTCGTAAAAAAGAAATACAAGTTGCAAAAACTTCATACAGTGAGGAAGTAAACTTTACATTGACTCTCTGTAATCTTTTGTAGGGTCAAAACACGAGGAGCGAGGCGTTATCACAATTCCAGATTATCAAATTCACCTAGGTGTTCTCTAAAATATTCTGGATATGAATTGTCGTCAATGTCATGATGTTGGTCTGTTCCTGATCAGGTAAGGGCCACTAACAACAAGAGACTTTAGTTTTCCCTGATAGTTTCCAGATTGGCTGTCTGATTGCTTTTTAGTTAAATTTGTTATTGATCTGCAGCTCTAATTGGGAAATATATTATCATTTCCTTAGTTTTCTTACTATATGCAGCGGCAAAGCTTGCTAAGATTCAGATCAACATAGACAATCTATTCATCATGCATTGTGCTTCCTAGTTGCATGACGAGATGTAGCTAATGTCGTCAATTTACCTGCGTTTTTACAGGTTCCTGGTCCCTTTCCTACCAAAGGATCACGATGCTGTTTTATATTATTTTATAATAAAGATATCAAATGATTTATTTTATTTCTGATATCTTTTATGTTAGCAAGATTTTAAGCAAGAAGATCCGAGGATAGTGATATTGTATACGGAGCTGGTGATCTCTTGTTTTATTTATTGTTTTGGTGAAACTCTTTTATATTATTTTATAATAAAGATATCAAATGATTTCTACGGAATTTATATTTATGGTCCCTTTCTAACAAGGACGTGGATATTTCAAAATATACTGCAGGATCAAATCTATCTATCTATCTATTTATCTATCTATCTATCTATATAAGGAAGTATGATTCATAACAAAATGATTTAGTGAAAAGATGTGCTGACTGCTGAATTACTCAAGCCATTGCTAGAACAGTAGCATATAAGAAAATCTCTGATTTGACCCTATCATATTAATCTTTCAAATAATTGTTGTTGATCATTGCATCAATATATATATATATATATATATATATATATATATATATATATATATATATATATATATATAACGGAGGATAACAAAACTGTCAATATCTATTTCTACAATGAGGATAATATAGGTATTTGGAATGATGCTAATCTCACTCTATGATAAAGTCTTATGATTGTATCAATAAAAAATGTTGTTAGTATGAAGAAATTAGTAATCATAAAAAGATACAATTTAATAACTCATTTTGTAATTAAATACAAATATAATTATACAGAAACTTAATGATGATCCAATTTGATATATAGTTTAAAGTTTAATGTTCAGTTCTTCCCTTTTTCGTGCCAGGTTTAGAAAATTTTTATTTATAGTTATCCTTAATTAAATTTCAATTTATAGTTATCACTTCATATAGTTATAGACTGCGAATGATAAAAGAAGAAGTGAGAAAATGCCGTACCATGCATTGGCAATATTCTAATCTAATAAATATTTTCCCCTAATTTTAGTTTTTTTTTTCCTTTATAGTGGTTAGGTGGTTAACGCATCTCAATTACCATCCTATGTATAATTTGAATAAGGTGATTCAAGCTAGGTGGTTTTTAGCGGCGGAATTAAGACTGTGCAATGAACTTAATCAAAGGAAAACTGGTTCCAAGATCCGAATTGTAAAATGTTACTTTTCTTCATTTTAAAACAGCCATTATGCATGGAAATACTCAAAACGTGAGACTTCTGAGATTTCGCGGAAAAGCAGCGCTACTGGCTCATCTTCCAGGTATAACACAACATTGATGATGTGTCCGCACGTACGGTAGATCGGTAGTTTTTTTTTTTTTTTTTTCTATAATTTAATAAATATAAAATTGTTACAAATCAAAATACTTTCTCAGAATATGTTACCGTAAAATAATAATAATAATAATAATAATAAATAAATAAATAAATAAATAATCACACAACAACCTTCACAATTTCGAGAAATCATTGTCTTCCAAATATCTTCTTATTTCCAAGAAAAAAATTAAATCTTTTTAAACTTTTCAAATCAAAATTTTCTAAAACAAAACTTTTTTTTATTTTTTTTTCAAATCTCTTGTTACTATAGATCAACGAAAAAACACGCTGTTGTATTAGACTCGTTGATTATTGAATATTTTAGTTGTTTGGCATTGTCGATGAACGCCAATTCTTTTCAAATAATAACACAAAATCTTAGAACTTTTATCTAAAGGACTTAATCTTTCATGTCTGAAGACATAAAATTTTCATTTTTTTAAAAAAAAATCATACCTACAAATCAGCTTTGAAAAAAATCAGGCCTTGATGGTAGAAAATAAAGAAAATAATGAAAAAAATATCATGCATATAAAAAAAAAGAAAAAGAAAAAATCTATTAAAAAAGGTTTGCTGCCAGCTAATAATAGGCGAAGGCAGCCCAAAGTAGAGTTTAAAACCATGTGTTTGTTGGGAGAAAAACATAGAGGATAGAACAAAGAATTGGATAGCCTAATTAACGTGATACACATGTAACTCTAAATATCTATGAAGGATACTTCATGTACAGTAATAAATCAATACCAACAAAAGTGATAGATGGATTGGTAAATTTAATGTTTTTGACACATTAGGTTAGGAGTTCGATTCTCCTTCTAAAAAGCTTTTTTCTCTTTTTTATAGTCTTTTTATGCTAAATTTAACGCATAAGTTATTGGTTGACTTAAATAGTTCAATTTTTAAAATTAATCAAAAGTTAGAGGTATTTGGCACTGGCCTAGCAATAATAATAATAATAATAATAATAATAATAATGTATTTAGTATCGGTTGGTAACTGTAAAAATAAAATAAAAATTTCAATAAAATAGCATGTATTTTGTTAAGAGAGAGAGAAAAAAGAATTCGGCAGCCTAATAAATATAATGTAAATCTAACACCAATATTTATGAGGGATACTTCATGTATAGTAAACCCATCAATAAAAACCAATTTCAATTAATAACCTTATTAGTTTAGTTCTCAATATCTACTAATAATAATAATAATCATCATCATCATAATAATACCCTTATTAGTCTTGGTACACAATACAAGATTGAGAATGACGCAATGCCGAATAGCAATAAATCATTATAGAAATAAATAAATAAAAAATCATTAACTTTTTTGAAATATTGTGAAATCCTACAAATAATATATATATAATTTGACAAAATATATTTTCATTTTGAAGAAAATTTATTAAATCCTCTATTTTAAACTCAAAATATCTTTACTTATTATTTAAATTAAAATAGATATGATTAAATTTAAAACTTAAGAAATTAAAAAAAAAAAAAGAAGATGGACACGATTAATTATTTAAAATAAACAATATTAATATTGTGAAATTAATGATTGCTTCATGTTGTAGTTATATTTTTCCAGCACTCCCCAAGAAAAATTTTCACATCAATTCTCATAATATAGTTTGTTTACCCATGTACGAAACTATTTGAAGGAGTGAGCGATGGAGGCAGAAAGAGAGATCAGAATAACAATCCAAGTGAGGAGGCAGCCGCAGCTAGAGCTTCCTGTTTATTTAATAGTTTTAAATATTACATAGAGACATTAATACAACACAAGATCTCTCACACAATCTCACATGATCAGGCACTGAGCTTGTTGCTTGAAAGCTTAAATGTATAATACAAGTACTGGCATGATCAGAAGCATGGAAAATGCTTCTTGGGTCGAGATGACCCTTTTATTATGTCTGAGTAAGGGCTTCATCGATGTCTTTGGTCATATTAACCATTAAATCCACATAAATATCTGGAACCGGGACATCAGGATAGAGTTTCTCGTATTCAATGCTCAGTTTTGCCAGGCAGCCCGAGCCTTTTGGTGTAATCTGCCAGACGGGCTTATAGACCTTGTAAATTTTCATGACATCTCCTTCCAAACCATTAAGAGTTACTGTCTTGTTCTCATCATCGAAGTGCACCTTCTCTTTAAAGACCCCGGGTTTTCCTCCTGTCGCAATTATGGCATAGAGAGTTTAAATCCATCACTTGTTAAAACTGTAATATTCACACATATTAATATGGGCAGCGGCTCATATGCAAATAAATAAATAATAATAATGATAAATAAACAAAATAAATTCAACTTAATGAATTAATATGCATTTTAAACTTCCTTGCCTATTATTTTCTTTAGGTGCATGCAATTTGATTAAGGAATTCTTTCCATCATGAAACAGTCAAATTTCATAATAAAGCCTTAGACGGTAGTCATTGATGCTTTCAAAGAGCCAATGAGTAGTTTAAATGGTCTCAACAAGTGGTCAACGCAGCCAATAATTGTTGTAGTGCTACGAACTCTATTGAAATTCAAGTCTTCAATGATAGTGTGAAGAGCATAACCATTTAGAAACCAAGCTCAACCTCCAAAGCTAGGTGCCAATACATGTAAGAGCCATTCAATTTTCAGGCATGTAAGTTTACTCCATTAAAACATAGAGACTATAAATATATAATTGCATACACAAAATTAATGTGGTTAATTTGAAGCATCATTAATTTTCATCAAAGTAAACAGAACATCACGCCTGCAATTTTTGTCATTTGCTTACCAACTGTGTACTTCCAGATCCTAATAGAGCCAGCAGTCTCCCAGTCACCTGCATGTACATCAACTCCTTGAATATGCTTAGAAGCATGTTTGGGAACATGAAAGGACTGGCTCCTCCAGACATTGTAGAACTTCTCTGCGGAAGACTTGAGTTCTAAGCTTGTCTCCATCTTTCCCTGCAGTGCCATTGCTTTCTATTATTTAGGCAAATCTATGCTCTAGATCTCTCAAAGAAAACAATGAGCTGAGTATAAAAATAACTAGAGTGGGCAGTCTTTATATAGAAGGTGTAAAGAGCGATGCACAGTTCTGAGTGACGTACCTTCTATGTCATTGTTTTGTTTTGTATATTATAATCATTAGATATGATTTTCGTTTGGATTAACTATATATATTGGTTACCTACGCACGATTGTGAGCCTCATTATACTGTAACTCTAAATGTAATAATTTGTGATAGACCATGCTTATTGGATGGAGCTTATTTTGTTTGTCGAACCGGTGATGCTTTTAATTATGCTATGTGGCTTATAACATTTATCCCAAATAGATTCAATTCATTTATTTAAATTGGATTAAAAAAAAATATGACAGAAAAATAAAATAGATAGATGATATTAAGGAAAAACAAAAAGCGTTACTTCAAAAGCTAACAGAAGCACGAGATAAAAAATATAAACCAAATATAGAATGATAAATTTTAAAAAATAAAACAAAATAAAAAATAAATAGAGGAAAACGGTAAAGGCTAAAAAAAGAGTAGATAGATATTTGCAATCATTAAACTAAGCAAAAACGGTAAAGCTACTGGTGGATTGTATCTGATTTTGACTTCCTGGCTAATCTGCATCATGAAAAGCTATTAGGGTCATTAATGCAAAATATTTGGTAAGCAGTAAACCGTGAATAATGGTTTTTTAAAAAAAATTAAAAAATAAAACTAGTCTAACACATGTAGCATGAAACTGAGTAACAGGTCGATTGGTCGGAATATGTAGGTTTTATGTAGATTATATTAGATGAGTCTAATAAGCTCATATGGTAATTAATGATTACGTGGTTTTTTTTTATTACTGATGATTGACAATGGAGATTGATGGCTTACTAAGATCCTTCCTACTCAAACTACCTACAAACCAAATCTTTCTCGTGGATTGAGGGATCTTTTAATGACTAAATGAGTGATAGATGAAACTGAGTAATAGATCGATTAGTCGAAATATGTAGGATTTATGTATATTATATTTGATGAGTCTAATAAACTCAAATAGTAATTAACGATAAGGTGGCTTTTTTATGATTGATGATGGACGGTGGAGATTGATGGCTCACTAAGATCTTCCATACTCAAACTGCCTACAAAACAAGTCTTCCTCGTGGATTGAAGGATTCTCTGATGGCTAAATGAGTGAACACTGAGAGGAGTTATCTGAGTAGACTTTCATGTATATCTCTATACGTGTGTAAGAAATGATGAATAACAATATGGGGTAGAAAGAGTAGGATCAGGAACCTGAACCCTAGGTGTTAATGGTTTTTATATATGCGAGACTTATGTCAAATTTTAAAGTGAAGGGGGTATAATGATATATTCCCTAGTTGTCGATAGTATCTAATGCCAAATTAAGCGACCTACATTCTTTATTGATGATAGGATTGGCTTTATAATATATGTGGTACTAAGCAAAATAATATTTTAAAGACTTTTTCATAAAATAAATAAATATTAAACATTATTTAAAATTTATTTTTCTTGCTTTCCGAGATACAAAATCTCTAATTAAATTTTTGTATTTAAGTTTACAAAGAAAATCTTTTTCAATTGATAATATAGCCAAATTACTTAATCTTTCTTATAACATAGTTAAACGTAAATAAGATTTTATTAATTTTAATTTTAAAAAACTTCTTTCAGCGAAGCTACAGTAACATAGATAGTTAATAATATTCTATATGCTATCCATGCATTTGGAAAAGAATTTACCTTTTTTTATAAAATTTAGTATGGCAAGTGGTGTTTTCATTTCCATAGTTATAATTTCTCTTAAAACTTTTAATTCGAAAATAAATCTAAACCATCGGTATCGAAAGCATATCATGCTTTAGAAAGTTTTCAAGATTTAATCAATAATTTTTTTTAAAATATCATCATTAAGTGATTTTAATTTTTCTACACTATAAAGAAAACCAAAATTATCTTCATATATTTTAAATTGTTCAAACCTATTTTGAAGAGAGAAAATCGCATGATCAACTAAATATGTAAAATAATTAATTCTAAAATATTCTTCAACAGATAATTTCATGTCTTCATTTTCAATCTCATCAAATTGTTTCTTTCTTCTTATTGTACACTTTTCACAAAATTTTGGTTCTATATTCATTTGCTCCGCAATTTCTTTAGCCATGATCATAGAAGATGTAAACTCATTTTCTTTATAGCTTTAAAAAAGAAATAAGACCTTTCAAGTGGTCTATTGCGGGAGCAATATCGGTATCTTTAGATTGTAAATATTTACTAACCGTATTAACGAGCAAACAACATATCATACCAAATAATCATGCCTAATAGAACTTCAAAATTTTCAATCTCATATATTGCTAAAGAAATGGCTTCACTTTTTGTTTTAGGATCCTCACTAGTTTCTCGCTAATTGATATAAAGCACCTCTTATTTGTTAAGCTTGAAATCTAATTGCTTTAACACTTTCAATACGACTTTCCCAACGTGTTTGTGATAATGGCTTATGTGTCAAATTAGAAACATGATCTTGCAAAAAATTTTATCTTTTTGTAGAAGAAGAAAATAATGAATATATACGTTGTGTCACTCCAAAAAATGTCATAGAACTAGCACATGAATTATCCATATCACAAAGAACTAAATTAAGATTGTGACGACCACATGGTGTATAAAATGCTCTAGAATTTATATCTAATAATTGTTTTTGTACACCTTGATGTTTACCTTTCATATTAGAATCATTATCATATCCTTGCCCTCTCACATCATTTATGTCAAGTTCAAGAGTTTTTATCTTACTTGTAAGTTCATTAAAAAGATCTTCACCAGAGGTATCATCCACTTTTTTTAAAAAAATATAATACTCTTCTATTTTTATTGGAATTATTGAAATATCTACATATCTTAATATAAGAGACATTTGTTCTTGATGACTTGCATCTAGAGTACAATCAAGTATAAATGAAAAATATTTTGATTATTTGATTTTTCCGATAATGGTATTTCTTATTTCTAATGCTAAAATATTTATCAACTCATTTTTTATATTATGAACAAGATAATGCATATGAATATCTCCATTTTGAATACGTCTAATGTGTTCTTGCATTATTGGATCAAACTCGAGCAATCATTTCAATTAAACTCAAAAAATTTTCATTATTGTCCCGATAAATCTTCTCATTTGTACCATGAAATGCCAAATTATTTTTTGAAAGAGCTTTTACAACGAGCAATAATTCTTAATAATACATTCCTCTAATGCTCTTTCTCTTTATTTATTTTCTTTTGTAAATGCTTATCAATTTTTTATTTTTTTTGTTTTTAAGCAATCTCATCCGAACATCAACTCAAATGTTCATATTAATAGCATGTTCATTACTTGTCTCATGACTTTTAAGTTCGGCACTAAGATTTTTCCAATCTCCACACCCTTCATTTGCTAATTGAATATTTGATTTTAAGCTAAATAATTTACAACAATAACAAAACACTTTATCTAACTCTTTTGAATATACTAGCCATTTTCTATCATGTTTTTATCTCGTTTGGTAATTGTCGAATGTAATGAACTATAGAAAAATGTCCGTAATTTTTATCTCTTGAAAAATCTAAAATTTCTCTAATTGGACCTTTCTCAACTAATAAATCAATCAGTTTTGAATCTAAATTTTTCCATTGTGCTGGATCATAAATATTTTTAATTATTGTTGCATCTTCATCATTAATATTTTTCACTTTTATTGATTGAAACATCATCTTCTAAATTTTTATCATATTATTCATTACTTTTTGGTGAATTTGAATTGTTATCTTCAAATTTTTCTTCACAGTTTTCAACTATATTTTCATTTAAATATTTATCTTATTCTTCTAGTATTTGAGGTCTAATATTAGTAACAAATATATCAAGTGCACCTTTTTGGGATTGAATTAGTTCTTCTACCTTTCTTTTTTCCTTACATTTTTCATATCCAGATTCATACTTTCTAGTAAACATTTTATTCAAATAATAAAATTAAAATATAATTATAAAAAGAGCAAGAAACTTTGGCACTTGATTATATTTGGTTGCCACACCTAATCAAGTAAATCTAGAGAGAATCACCTAAGAAAATAAAAAGAAATTTGAGAAAAATATAAAATATTATATGATTTATATACATAATTTTATTTGCATAAATTAAAAAATTACCTTCGATTCTTCTACCAAGCTAATTAGAAAAGGTTTTATAAGAGATCCCCGATTGTTTGGAGAAAGAAAGGAATATAATAACAAAATTTAAAGATCTAAAAATTGTTTCACTCAAAAATATTTTTATGAAACTTTTACGTAAGTAAAGGTGTCTTACTAAAATAAAAATTGAAAGCTTTTATAGGTAGAAGGTAACTAGAAAGATATCTAGAAAAAGTAGATTTTTTAACATTGAAATAATAATATCTCCGAACAATGGGAGCCTTTCAATGTAGGAACTCTAGTACCTATGACCTATTAATAGAGAGAAGAATAGTGTCTCATACTTAGGTGGAGGCTCGCATCTTTTAATTTATCTCATTTTTCATGAGTGTAGGTTTAGGATAAAATTTTAATTAGGGCCTCCCTTTCTATAGGGGCCCTAGGCATAGGCCTTAATGGCCTACGTCTTGAGCCGACACCGATTGATGATGATCTCTTCTCCGACGACGTGAACACTATCATGATTTGTATTGATTGGAAGAAGGAACTCTTAGAAGGATGTCTTTATTATATGCATGTCCTTTATGTTGTGATAGTAAGTGATGACTATCTTTTTCCTCTAGAACACATGTTTAGGATAGTTAGGGTGGTGATGTCTCGTTGGGACATTAGTCGGTCTTTAGCCGATTGTTGGTTTCACCTAAGAGTCCTACCCTCGAGTAAAGGTTTTTTTATGGGTATCTAAATACTTGTCATCCAAGCTCATC